TTATCTGATGAAAGTGCAAGCGAGAATTTCATCATCGCTTGCGGCTGGGATTGGCATCGTCCCCGACTCCTCCTGATGTCGAGGGTAAATGGGCGAGGTTTAGGACTGTGACTCATGCAGCTGCTTTAGGTACGCGGTCCAGACCTCCCCAGAGACCCTGGCTGACAGAGGAGGTGTTCAGGATGGTTGAGAAAAAGCGACAGGCCCACTGTCATCGGCTACAGAATCCCACGTCAGAGAATGAGGAGGCTTACCGCAGCCTTCGCTCGGAGGTTCGGAGAGCCGTGAGGCGCTGCAAGGATGGGTGGTGGTCGCGGGTTGCTGAGGAGATGGAGTCTGCCTCAGTGGCCCGTGATCACAAATCTCTATTTAACTCCATCAAAAAGGTAACCTGCAGCGCCACACCTATTACCATCATTAGGGGAAAAAACGGTGATCCAATCTCCGACCCCCAGGAACAGGTTTGCAGATTTGCTGAGCATTTCTGTGAGGTCCTGGGGGAGGGAAAATCCCTCAGCCAGGAAAACATCGTGGCACAAAGTGAGGATGACCCTGCTGAGGCTGCGGTGCCTCAAATATTGGAAGAAGTCACCCCCTGTGAGTGGCTGGTTGAGGTGCCATCTGTTGAGGAAGTACTGAAGGCGATCCGGAGTCTGAGACCAGGAAAGGCAGCGGGCAGAGATTATCTCCCAAGCGGAATGCTGAGGGAGGGTGCCGTTTGTGCACTGATTGCCCTATATGACATCTTAACAACAGTCTGGACCACTGGACGGGTTCCGCAGGATTGGAAGGATGCCCTGGTGGTCCCCCTTTTTAAGAAGGGGGACCGCACAGACTGTAACAACTACAGGGGCATCTCACTCCTCAGTGTGCCGGGAAAGGTCCTGGCAAGGATTATTCAGCATCGCCTTGCCAGGCACGCTGAGGAGAGGCTTGCGGAGCCCCAATGCGGTTTCAGGAAAGGGCGGTCCTGCACAGATGCCATGTTTTCTGTCCGTCTGCTACAGCAGAGGTGTAGGGAATTCCAACAAGACCTACATCTCTGCTTTATTGACCTGGTCAAGGCCTATGATACCATCAGTAGGCCTGGGCTCTGGGTCGTTCTTTGTGCTTTTGGAGTACCTGACCCTCTGCTCACGATCATTAAGGACCTTCATGATGGTGAGCGGGCCCGGGTAAAACTACGTGGCCGGGAGTCAGAGCCATTCCCTGTACACCTTGGGGTGCGACAGGAATGTCCTCTGGCTCCCACATTATTTAACATCTATTTTGACCACGTAGTTCGTGAAGCCTTCAATAGCTGTACCGGGGGAATCTCCATATGGTACAGATATAATGGGAGGCTGATCGATGCCCGGGTGCGGTCAAGGGATGGCTCCCTATTGCTCAACCACGTTATGTATGCTGATGATTTGGTAATAGCTGCTCAGTCAGAGGAGGAGTTGGAGACGCTGCTGCTGAGACTGGAGCGTGCCACTAAGAGGTGGGGCCTTACCATCAGCCCCACCAAAACTAAGCACCTGCCTGGGTATTTTGTACCATCGGACACTCCACCCCCACAACTCCCAATCGGTGATGGGGCAGTTGTGGAGAGAGTGGAGAGTTTCCCATACCTGGGCAGTGTGCTTATGACTGGCTCCAGTTTAACAGCAGAGGTCTCACTCCGAATCAGTCGAGCGGCAATATATTTTCATCGGTTGCGTAACGCTGTGTGGAAGCTACCTGGTCTGTCGCTCCGCACTAAGCTTCAGGTCTTCTCGGCCACGGTCATTCCCTCCCTTCTCTACGCTTGCGAAACGTGGACCCCCCTAATGGAACATCTTCGCCGGTTAGAAACATTTAGGCTGGCCTGCCTACGATCCATCCTGGGTTTGACCAGACTGGATTGTGTGAGGAGCTCACAAATCCTTGAAAGATCTGGGCAAGGTCCCATCGGTGAGCTCCTCCGGCGGGGAAGGCTGCGATGGCTGGGTCATGTAGCCCGCATGCCCAGCCACCGCATGCCGAAACAGCTTTTGTTCGGCCGGATCGAGGGGGCTAAGCGGGCGCGGCACGGGCTAGAGAAGAGATGGAGTGATGTGGAACGGGAGGACGTCGAGCTGAGTGGACTTGCCGATGACTGGCACCAGCGGTATCAAGATCGGCCTCTGTGGAGGAGGCTCGTGAAGGACGCTACTGGGCTGTTGGAGGCAGTCGCCCTCCAACAACAACGGAGGGCGGAGGAGCGACGCTCACAACAACGAGCGGAGCGCCGGGTAGCTAAAGCACAGCAGGTTGGCACAGTAGGGGGCACAGGTGGTGCATCAGCCAGTCATCTCAGTCAGTCGACCCGTGGCACCTGCTGGGTCTGCCCCGTGACCTCCTGCCAGCGGGCGTTCGACACCTCACGTGGCCTCAGGGTGCACATAGCCTGGCACAAGCGTCGTGGTGACGTCACCGACACTTAGTGGCGAATGGCGGTTGTTGTTGTTGTTGTAGGGGTGTGTGTGTGTGTAGGGGTGAGTGTGTGTAGGGGTGAGTGTGTGTAGGGGTGAGTATGTGTAGGGGTGTGTGTGTGTGTGTAGGGGTGTGTGTGTAAGTGTGTCTGTGTAAGGGGACCGGTAGTGTAGCGGTTAGCGCGCTGCGCTATGAACCTGGCGACCCGGGTTCGATTCCCGCTCACGGCCAACACCAGTGACGATTATCTGAACCGGTCCCGGGCCTCCCCTAGGTCGACTCAGCCTCAAATGAGTACCTGGTGCGGTGTGTAAACATTGCCACTAGGGAGACAAAGGCGGTCGGGCGTGGTGCTGGCCACCCACCCCCTCGTGTACCGTTCCGGCCTTCATAGGTGCTCGCTAACAGCACTTGCCCCTACAGTCTGTTCAGGCTATATGGGGGATCTTTGTCTTTTTTTTGTGTGTAAGTGTGGGTGTAGGGGTGAGTATGTGTAGGGGTGTGTGTGTGTAGGGGTGAGTGTGTGTAGGGGTGTGTGTGTAAGTGTGTGTGTGTAGGGGTGTGTGTGTAAGGGGACCGCACAGACTGTAACAACTACAGGGGCATCTCACTCCTCAATGTGCCGGGAAAGGTCCTGGCAAGGATTATTCAGCATCGCCTTGCCAGGCACGCTGAGGAGAGGCTTGCGGAGCCCCAATGCGGTTTCAGGAAAGGGCGGTCCTGCACGGATGCCATATTTTCTGTCCGTCTGCTACAGCAGAGGTGTAGGGAATTCCAGCAAGACCTACATCTCTGCTTTATTGACCTGGTCAAGGCCTATGAACCCGACGACCCCAGTTCGATTCCCGCTCACGGCCAACACCGCCAGTGATGATTCTCTGAACCGGTCCTGGGCCTCCTCTAGGTCAACTCAGCCTCATATGAGTACCTGGTGTAGCGGTAAACATCACCATACTCACTCACACACTCATCCACACTCACATACTCACCCACACACTCACTCACACACACACTCACATACTCACACAAAGTCACACACTCACACTCACTCACTCACTTACACACTCACTCACACACTCACACACTCACTTACACACTCACACACACACTCACACACCCACTCACTCACCACTCTTACTCACCACACTCACCACACTCACTCACCACACTCACCACACTCACTCACCACACCCACTCACCACACCCACTCACTCATCCACACTCACACACTCACCCACACACTCACTCATTCACACACACATACTCACACAAAGTCACACTCACTCACACACTCACACACCAACTTACACACTCACACACCCACTCACACATACACTCACTCACACACTCACTGACTCACACCCACTCACCACGCTCACCACACCCACTCACCACACTCACTCACCACACTCACCACACTCACCACACCCACTCACTCACCACTCTTACTCACCACACTCACCACTCTCACCACACTCACTCACCACACTCACCACTTTCACTCACCACTCTCACCACACTCACTCACCACTGCCACGTTTCACGTCCTCCCGATCGCTCTCGCCACGTAAACAGGGTCCAGTAGCTGCACACACACAGACACAGACACGCAGACACACACACAGACACACACACACAGACACACACACACAGACACACACACACAGACATACACACAGACACACACACACACAGACACACACAGACACACAGACACACACACAGACACACACACACAGACACACATACAGACACACACAGACACACAGACACACACACAGACACACACACACAGCCCCCCCCACCTCAACCCCCCCCCCTCAGATTTCACGTCCAAGTCCGAGTGTGGTGCCTGCCACTTCACAGCAGCAACACCAACAACTACAACAACAACTACAACAACTACAACAACAACTACAACAACTACTACAACAACTACAACAACTACTACAACAACTACAACTACTACAACTACAACTCGCACTCCGTCTCTCTCACTCACTCGCAGTCCGTCTCTCACTCACTCTCTCACTCACTCCATCTCTCACTCTCTCTCTCCGTCTCTCACTCTTTCACTCTCTCCATCTCTCACTCACTCACTCTCTCTCACTCTCTCACTCACTCTCTCTCTCCGTCTCTCACTCTCTCTGTCTCTCAATCACTCCGTCACTCACTCTCTCACTCACTCCGTCTCTCACTCTCTCACTCTCTCACTCACTCCGTCTCTCACTCACTCCGTCTCTCACTCTCTCACTCACTAACTCTCTCACTCACTCTTCTCTCTCACTCACTCTCTCACGCTCTCACTCTCTCTCTCTCTCCATCACTCACTCTCTCCGTCTCTCAATCACTCCGTCACTCACTCTCTCACTCACTCCGTCTCTCACTCTCTCTCTCCGTCTCTCACTCTTTCACTCTCTCCATCTCTCACTCACTCTCTCTCACTCTCTCACTCACTCTCTCTCTCCGTCTCTCACTCTCTCCGTCTCTCAATCACTCCGTCACTCACTCTCTCACTCACTCCGTCTCTCACTCTCTCACTCTCTCACTCACTCCGTCTCTCACTCACTCCGTCTCTCACTCTCTCACTCACTAACTCTCTCACTCACTCTTCTCTCTCACTCACTCTCTCACGCTCTCACTCTCTCTCTCTCCATCACTCACTCTCTCCGTCTCTCTCCCCATCCTCGTCCCAGGAGTATCTCCGCTTGCGAGCGGAGAGTTGGAGGTGATAAGCAACGAGAGACGAGGTGAGGGTGATGGTGGTGATGGTGGTGGTGGTGATGGTGATGATGGTGATGGTGGTGATGGTGGTGATGATGGTGGTGGTGATGATGGTGGTGGTGGTGGTGATGGTGGTGATGGTGGTGATGATGGTGGTGGTGGTGATGGTGGTGATGATGGTGATGGTGGTGATGATGGTGGTGATGGTGGTGGTGAGGGTGGTGGTGATGGTGGTGATGGTGGTGGTGATGGTGGTGATGATGATGGTGGTGATGATGGTGGTGGTGGTGATGGTGGTGATGGTGGTGATGATGGTGGTGGTGGTGATGGTGATGGTGGTGATGATGGTGATGGTGGTGATGATGGTGGTGATGGTGGTGGTGAGGGTGGTGGTGATGGTGGTGATGGTGGTGGTGATAATGGTGATGGTGGTGGTGATGGTGGTGATGGTGGTGATGATGCTGGTGGTGGTGATGGTGATGATGGTGATGGTGGTGATGATGGTGATGGTGGTGGTGATGGTGGTGATGGTGGTGATGGTGGTGATGATGGTGGTGGTGGTGATGGTGATGATGGTGATGGTGGTGATGATGGTGATGGTGGTGATGGTGGTGATGGTGGTGATGATGGTGGTGGTGGTGGTGATGGTGATGGTGGTGATGGTGGTGATGGTGGTGATGGTGGTGGTGGTGATGGTGGTGATGGTGGTGGTGATGGTGGTGGTGAGGGTGGTGGTGGTGAGGGTGGTGGTGGTGATGGTGGTGGTGATGGTGGTGATGGTGGTGATGATGGTGGTGATGGTGATGGTGGTGATGGTTGTGATGGTGATGGTGGTGATGATGGTGGTGGTGGTGATGGTGATGATGGTGGTGATGGTGATGGTGGTGGTGATGGTGATGGTGGTGATGGTGGTGATGATGGTGATGGTGGTGATGGTGGTGATGGTGGTGGTGGTGATGGTGGTGGTGATGGTGGTGAGGGTGATGGTGGTGATGGTGGTGGTGATGGTGATGGTGGTGATGGTGGTGATGGTGGTGGTGATGGTGGTGATGATGATGGTGGTGATGATGGTGGTGGTGGTGGTGATGGTGGTGATGATGGTGATGATGGTGGTGGTGGTGATGGTGATGGTGGTGATGATGGTGATGGTGGTGATGATGGTGGTGATGGTGGTGGTGAGGGTGGTGGTGATGGTGGTGATGGTGGTGGTGATGGTGGTGATGATGATGGTGGTGATGATGGTGGTGGTGGTGGTGATGGTGGTGATGATGGTGGTGGTGGTGGTGATGGTGATGGTGGTGATGATGGTGATGGTGGTGATGATGGTGGTGATGGTGGTGGTGAGGGTGGTGGTGATGGTGGTGATGGTGGTGGTGATGATGGTGATGGTGGTGATGGTGGTAATGGTGGTGATGATGGTGGTGGTGATGGTGATGATGGTGATGGTGGTGATGGTGGTGATGGTGGTGATGATGGTGGTGGTGATGGTGGTGATGGTGGTGATGGTGATGGTGGTGATGGTGGTGGTGATGGTGGTGATGGTGGTGATGAGGGTGGTGGTGGTGATGGTGGTGATGGTGGTGGTGATGATGGTGATGGCGGTGATGATGGTGGTGGTGATGGTGATGGTGGTGATGGTGGTGATGGTGGTGGTGATGGTGGTGATGATGGTGGTGGTGGTGATGGTGATGGTGGTGATGGTGATGGGGGTGGTGATGGTGGTAATGGTGGTGAGGGTGATGGTGGTGATGGTGGTGGTGATGCTGATGGTGGTGGTGGTGATGGTGGTGATGGTGGTGGTGATGGTGGTGATGATGATGGTGGTGATGATGGTGGTGGTGGTGATGGTGGTGATGGTGGTGATGATGGTGGTGGTGGTGATGGTGATGGTGGTGATGATGGTGATGGTGGTGATGATGGTGGTGATGGTGGTGGTGAGGGTGGTGGTGATGGTGGTGATGGTGGTGGTGATGGTGGTGATGATGATGGTGGTGATGATGGTGGTGGTGGTGGTGGTGATGGTGGTGATGGTGGTGATGATGGTGGTGGTGGTGATGGTGATGGTGGTGATGATGGTGGTGATGATGGTGGTGATGGTGGTGGTGAGGGTGGTGGTGAGGGTGGTGGTGATGGTGGTGATGGTGGTGGTGATGATGGTAATGGTGGTGGTGATGGTGGTGATGGTGGTGATGGTGGTGGTGATGATGGTGGTGGTGGTGATGGTGATGATGGTGATGGTGGTGATGGTGGTGATGGTGGTGGTGGTGGTGGTGGTGATGGTGATGGTGGTGATGGTGATGGTGGTGATGGTGGTGATGGTGGTGATGGTGATGGTGGTGGTGGTGATGGTGGTGATGGTGGTGGTGATGGTGGTGATGGTGGTGGTGAGGGTGGTGGTGGTGATGGTGGTGATGGTGGTGGTGATGGTGGTGATGGTGGTGATGATGGTGGTGATGATGGTGGTGGTGGTGATGGTGATGGTGGTGATGGTGATGGTGGTGGTGATGGTGATGGTGGTGATGATGGTGATGGTGGTGATGGTGGTGATGGTGGTGGTGGTGATGGTGGTGGTGATGGTGGTGAGGGTGATGGTGGTGATGGTGGTGGTGATGGTGATGGTGGTGATGGTGGTGATGGTGGTGGTGATGGTGGTGAGGGTGATGGTGGTGATGGTGGTGGTGATGGTGGTGATGGTGGTGATGGTGATGGTGTTGATGGTGGTGATGGTGGTGGTGATGGTGGTGATGGTGGTGATGGCGATGATGGTGGTGGTGGTGGTGATGGTGGTGATAGTGATGGTGATGGTGGTGATGGTGGTGGAGATGGTGGTGATGGTGGTGGTGGTGGTGGTCGTGATGGTTATGATGATGATGGTGGTGGTGATGGTGGTAATGGTGGTGATGGTGATGGTGGTGATGGTGATGATGGTGATGGTGGTGATGATGATGATGGTGGTGATGGTGATGATTCTGCTGCTGATGATGATTCTGTTTCTGCTGCTGCTGATGATGATTCTGCTGCTGCTGATGATGATGTTTCTGCTGCTGATGATGATTCTGCTGCTGCTGATGATGATTCTGCTGATGATGATCATTCTGCTGCTGATGATTCTGCTGCTGATGATGATGTTGATTCTGCTGCTGATGATCATTCTGCTGTTGCTGCTGATGATTCTGCTGCTGCTGCTGATGATGATGATCATCATTCTGCTGCTGCTGATGATGATTCTGCTGCTGATGATGATTCTGTTGCTGCTGATGATGAATCTGCTGCTGCTGATGATGATTCTGCTGTTGCTGCTGCTGATGACACTGCTGCTGATGATGATGATTCTGCTGCTGCTGATGATGATGACACTGCTGCTGATGATGATGATTCTGCTGCTGCTGATGATGATGACACTGCTGCTGCTGCAGATGATTCTGCTGCTGCTGATGATGATGATTCTGCTGCTGATGATGATGATGATTCTGCTGCTGATGATGACGATTCTGCTGATGATGATGATTCTGTTGATTATGATGATTCTGCTGGTGATGATGATGATGATGATTCTGATGATGATGATGATGATTCTGCTGCTGATGATGACGATTCTGCTGATGATGATGATTCTGCTGATGATGATGATTCTGCTGCTGATGATGATTCTGCTGATGATGATCATTCTGCTGCTGCTGATGATGATTCTGCTGCTGATGATGATGATTCTGCTGATGCTGATGATGATGATTCTGCTGCTGCTGATTCTGCAGAAGCCATGGATCAGAACGAGTTTGAGGCGGAATATTTCGACAAATCTGACTACTACGGTGTAGAGGATGCAGCGCAGAGTGAGGAGACACACGGGGAGAGACACACGGGGAGACACGGGGAGAGACACGGGGAGAGACGGGGAGAGACACGGGGGGAGAGATACGGGGAGACACGGGGAGAGAGATACGGGGGGAGACACGGGGAGACACGGGGGGAGACACGGGGAGACACACAGGGAGACACGGGGAGACACGGGGAGACACACGGGGGGAGACACGGGGAGACACGGGGAGACACATGGGGGGAGACACGGGGAGACACGGGGAGACACACAGGGAGACACGGGGAAACACGGGGAGACACACGGGGGGAGACACGGGGAGACACGGGGAGACACGGGGAGACACGGGGAGAGACAAGGGGGGAGACACGGGGAGACACGGGGAGACACGGGGAGACACGGGGAGAGACAAGGGGGGAGACACGGGGAGAGACACGGGGGGAGACACGGGGAGACACCGGGAGAGACACGGGGAGACACGGGGAGAGACACGGGGAGACACGGGGAGACACGGGGAGATACACGGGGGGAGACACGGGGAGACACGGGGAGAGACACGGGGAGACACGGGGAGAGACACGGGGAGACACGGGGAGAGACACGGGGAGAGACGGGGAGAGACACGGGGAGACACGGGGAGAGACAAGGGGAGAGACACGGAGAGACACGGGGGGAGACACGGGGAGAGACACGGGGAGAGACGGGGAGAGACACGGGGAGACACGGGGAGAGACACGGGGGGAGACACGGGGAGACACGGGGAGACACGGAGAGAGACGCGGGGAGACACGGAGAGAGACGCGGGGAGACACGGGGAGACACGGGGAGACACGGGGAGAGACACGGGGAGACACGGGGAGACACAGGGAGAGACACGGGGAGACACGGGGAGACACGGGGAGAGACACGGGGAGAGACACGGGGGGAGACACGGGGAGACACGGGGAGAGACACGGGGAGACACGGGGGGAGACACGGGGAGAGACACGGGGAGACACGGGGGGAGACACGGGGGGAGACGGGGAGACACGGGGAGAGACACACAGGGAGAGACACGGGGGGAGACACGGGTAGAGACACGGGGAGACACGGGGAGAGAGACACGGGTAGAGACACGGGGAGACACGGGGAGAGAGACACGGGGAGAGACACGGGGAGACACGGGGAGAGACACGGGGAGAGACACGGGGAGACACGGGGAGAGACACGGGGAGAGACACGGGGAGACACGGGGGGAGACGCGGGGAGACACGGGGAGACACGGGGGGAGACGGGGAGACACGGGGAGACACGGGGGGAGAGACACGGGGAGAGACACGGGGAGACACGGGGAGAGACACGGGGAGACACGGGGAGACACGGAGAGAGACACGGGGAGAGACACGGGGAGACACGGGGAGACACGGAGAGAGACACGGGGAGACACGGGGAGACACGGAGAGAGACACGGGGAGACACGGTGAGACACGGGGAGACACGGGGAGAGAGACACGGGGGGAGACACGGGGAGACGCGGGGAGAGACACGGGGAGACACGGGGAGAGACACGGGGAGACGCGGGGAGAGAGACACGGGGGGAGACACGGGGAGACACGGGGAGAGACACGGGGAGACACGGGGAGAGACACGGGGAGACACGGGGAGACACGGGGAGAGACGGGGAGAGACACGGGGAGACACGGGGAGAGACACGGGGGAGAGACACGGGGAGAGACACGGGGGGAGACACGGGGAGAGACACGGGGAGAGACACGGGGGGAGACACGGGGAGAGACACGGAGAGACACGGGGAGAGACACGGGGAGAGACACGGGGAGACACGGGGAGAGACGGGGGGAGACACGGGGAGACACGGGGGGAGACACGGGGAGACACGGGGAGACACGGGGAGAGACACGGGGAGAGACACGGGGAGACACGGGGAGAGACGGGGGGAGACACGGGGAGAGACACGGGGAGAGACACGGGGGGAGACACGGGGAGAGACACGGAGAGAGACACGGGGAGAGACACGGGGAGAGACGGGGAGAGACACGGGGAGACACGGGGAGAGACACGGGGGGAGAGACACGGGGAGACACGGGGAGACACACGGGGGTAGACACGGGGGGAGACACGGGGAGACACGGGGAGACACAGGGAGAGACACGGGGAGACACGGGGAGAGACACGAGGAGAGACACGGGGGGAGAGACACGGGGAGACACGGGGAGAAACACGGGGGGAGACACGGGGAGACACACGGGGGGAGACACGGGGAGACACGGGGAGAGACACGGGGGGAGAGACACGGGGAGACACGGGGAGACACTGGGAGACACGGGGGGAGAGACACGGGGAGAGAAGGGGGGAGACACGGGGGGAGACACGGGGAGAGAGACACGGGGGGAGACACGGGGGGAGAGACACGGGGAGAGACACGGGGAGAGACACGGGGAGACACGGGGGGGGGAGACACGGGGAGAGACACGGGGAGACACGGGGGGGGGAGACACGGGGAGAGAGACACGGGGGGAGACACGGGGGGAGAGACACGGGGGGAGACACGGGGAGACACGGGGAGACACGGGGAGAGACACACGGGGGGAGACACGGGGGGAGAGACACGGGGAGAGACACGGGGAGACACGGGGAGACACGGGGGGAGAGACACGGGGAGAGACACGGGGAGACACACGGGGAGAGACACGGGGAGAGAGACACGGGGAGAGAGACACGGGGAGAGAGACACGGGCAGAGACACGGGGAGACACGGGGAGAGACACGGGGGGAGACACGGGGAGAGACACGGGGGAGACACCGGGAGAGAGACACGGGGGGAGAGACACGGGGGGAGACACGGGGGGAGACACGGGGAGAGACACGGGGGAGACACGGGGAGAGACACGGGGAGAGACACGGGGGGAGACACGGGGAGAGACACGGGGGAGACACGGGGGGAGACACGGGGAGAGACACGGGGGGAGACACGGGGGGAGACACGGGGAGAGACACGGGGGAGACACGGGGAGAGACACGGGGAGAGACACGGGGAGAGACACGGGGAGAGAGACACGGGGAGACACACAGGGAGAGACACGGGGAGAGACACGGGGGAGACACGGGGAGAGACGGGGAGAGACACGGGGGGAAAGACATTGATGATGGTGATGATGGTGAATGTTTGTGCACAACACAAATACATACCACCACCACTACCACTCACCCCCACCACTCACCCCCACCACTCACCACCACCACCACTCACCACCATTCCTCACCACCACTCCTCACCACCACCATCCCCACCACCACCATCCGCACCACCACCATCACCACCACCACTCACCACTCTTCACTCACCACCACTCACCACTCTTCACGCACCACCGCTCACCACCACCACCACCACTCACCCCCATCACCACCACTCACCACCACTCACCCCCACTTCTCACCACCGCCACCACTCACCACCACTCACCCCCACCATCACTTACCCCCATCACCACCACCACCACTCACCACCACCACTCACCACCACTCACCACCACCACCCCCACCACCCGCACCACCACCACCACCACCACCACTCACCACCACTCACCCCCACTACCACTCACCACCACCACCACCCCCACCACCACTCACCACCACTCTTCACTCACCACCACCACTCACCACCACCACTCACCACCACTCACCACCACCACACACCACCACTCACCACTCACCCCCACTCACCACCACCACTCACCACCACTCACCACCACTCACCACTCACCCCCACCACCACTCACCACCACCACCACCCCCACCACCACCACCACTCACCCCCACTCACCACCACCACCACTCACCCCCACTCACCACCACCACCATCACCATCACTCACCACCACTCACCACCACTCACCACCACTCACCACCACCACTCACCACCCCCACCACCACCCCCACCACCACCACCACCCCCACTCCCACCACCACCACCACTCACCACCACCACCACTCTTCACTCACCACCACCACTCTTCACTCACCATCACCACTCACCACCACTCACCACCCCACTCACCACCCCCACTCACCACCCCCACCACCACCCCCAACACCACCACTCACCCCCACTCACCCCCACTCACCCCCACTCACCACCACCACCACCACCACTCACCCCCACCACTCACCCCCACTCACCACTCACCACCACCACCACTCACCACCACCACTCACCACCACCACCACCACCACTCACCCCCACCACCACCACCACCCCCACTCACCACCACCCCCACCACTCACCACCACCACTCACCACCACTCACCACTCACCCCCACTCACCACCACCACTCACCACCACACACCACCACTCACCACTCACCCCCACCACCACTCACCACCACCACCACCCCCACCACCACTCACCCCCACTCACCACCACCACCACCACTCACCCCCACTCACCACCACCATCACCATCACTCACCACCACTCACCACCACCACTCACCACCCCCACCACCACCCGCACCACCACCACTCACCCCCACTCACCACCACTCACCACTCACCACCACCACCCCCACTCACCACCACTCACCACCACCCCCACTCCCACCACCCCCACCACTCACCACCCCCACCCCCACCACCACCACCACTTTTCACTCACCACCACCACCACTCACCACCACCACCACCACTCCCACCACCACTCACCACCCCCACTCACCACCACTCTTCACTCACTACCACCACCACCACCACTCACCACTCACTACCATTCACCACCACCACTCACCACTACCACCACTCACCACCCCCACCACCACTCACCACCCCCACTCACCACCACTCACCACCACCACTCACCACCACCCCCACCACCACCACTCACCACCACCCACCACCACCCCCACTCACCACCACCCCCCCACCAGGCCCGCGAGCTTGTGCCAAGGGTCGCACCAAGCGTCAGTCCCAGGAGAACTCAAACCGCCCGGTGCCGGCCGGACATGAGCGCAAGATAGCGGACAAGCTACAGCGAGCCCACCACAACGCCAGCCACATCGCCTCCGGCCCCACCAGCTCCACCACCGCCAGCTCCACCACCGCCAGCTCCACCACCGCCAGCTCCACCACCACCAGCTCCACCACCAGCTCCACCGCCGCCGCTGCTGTTCCCAGCGGGCGCCGTGGTCACGCCAAGTCCACCAGGGGCGACTCAGCGGTGACCGAGTGACCCTGAGGCTGTGCGTGGGGGGGTGGTGGTGGTGGTGGGGGTGGTGGTGGGGGTGGTGGTGGTGGTGGTGATGGTGTTGGTGATGGTGTTGGTGGTGATGGTGGTGGTGATGGTGGTGGTGGTGATGGTGTTGGTGGTGATGGTGGTGGTGATGGTGGTGGTGATGGTGATGGTGGTGGGTGGTGGTGATGGTGTTGGTGGTGATGATGGTGATGGTGCTTGCCACCCACCACCCTCTGTCTGTGCCACGGTGCCTGTAGCCTTCATTAAAAGTGCTCGCTAACAGCACTTGCCCCTACAGCCCTGCTAGAGGCTACCTGGGGGAGCTTTGTCTGTGTGTGTACATCATAGGTGGTGCTACTCGCTACTAGCAGCACTTGCCCCTACAGCCCTGCTAGAGGCTACCTGGGGGAGCTTTGTCTGTGTGTACATCATAGGTGGTGCTACTCGCTACTAGCAGCACTTGCCCCTACAGCCCTGCTAAGGCTACACGGGGGATCTTTCTCTTTGGTGGTGATGATGACGATGATGATGGTGATGATGATGATGTGCAATGATGACCAGGATGAGAAGTAAAACTCGTGGCGAGGAGACAGACCGGGCTCACCGCAGGTCCAGAGACCACACAGGGTATGAGTTCGAGTCCAGGATTACGTTGGGAATCGGACTCAGTTGCTGGCCCAGGTGTCTCTGAAAAGTGTTCCAGAGTGAACTCTAGAAACACCGAGAGAGAGAGAGACACCCAGACCCAGGGCTCGAACCCAGACTCTCAGTGTCTCTGACACGGCCATCGTGAACCCCCTGAGAGAGACCCAGACCCAGGGCTCGAACCCAGACTCTCAGTGTCTCTGACACGGCCATCGTGAACCCCCTGAGAGAGACCCAGACCCAGGGCTAGAACCCAGACTCGCAGTGTCTCTGACACGGCCACTGTGAACCCCCTGAGAGAGACACCCAGACCCAGGGCTTGAACCCAGACTCTCAGTGTCTCTGACACGGCCACTGTGAACCCCCTGAGAGAGAGACACCCAGACCCAGGGCTAGAACCCAGACTCTCAGTGTCTCTGACACGGCCACTGTGAACCTCCTGAGAGAGAGAGAGAGACACCCAGACCCAGGGCTAGAACCCAGACTCTCAGTGTCTCTGACACGGCCACTGTGAACCCCCTGAGAGAGAGAGACACCCAGACCCAGAGCTTGAACCCAGACTCTCAGTGTCTCTGACACGGCCACTGTGAACCCCCTGAGAGAGAGAGAGACACCCAGACCCAGGGCTTGAACCCAGACTCTCAGTGTCTCTGACACGGCCACTATGAACCCCCTGAGAGAGACACCCAGACCCAGGGCTAGAACCCAGACACTCAGTGTCTCTGACACGGCCACTATGAACCCCCTGAGAGAGACACCCAGACCCAGGGCTAGAACCCAGACTCTCAGTGTCTCTGACACGGCCACTGTGAACCCCCTGAGAGAGACCCAGACCCAGGCCTTGAACCCAGACTCTCAGTGTCTCTGACACGGCCACTGTGAACCCCCTGAGAGAGACACCCAGACCCAGGGCTTGAACCCAGACTCTCAGTGTCTCTGACACGGCCACTGAGTGTTGATTTTCGTCTTCTCGTTGTTTTGCATCGGAAATGTTTTACGTCTTCATTAAAGCACCGCTGTCATTCTGCCGTGGTAAATACGGATTGTGTTGAGTGAGTGGGTGGATGGGTGAGTGAGTGAGTGGGTGAGTGAGTGGGTGAGTGGGTGGGTGAGTGGGTGAGTGAGTGGGTGGGTGAGTGGGTGAGTGAGTGGGTGAGTGGGTGAGTGAGTGGGTGGGTGAGTGAGTGAGTGGGTGAGTGGGTGGGTGAGTGGGTGGGTGGGTGGGTGAGTGGGTGAGTGAGTGGGTGGGTGAGTGGGTGAGTGGGTGGGTGAGTGGGTGAGTGAGTGGGTGAGTGAGTGAGTGGGTGGGTGAGTGGGTGGGTGAGTGGGTGAGTGAGTGGGTGAGTGGGTGGGTGAGTGGGTGGGTGAGTGGGTGAGTGGGTGGGTGAGTGGGTGAGTGGGTGAGTGAATTGGTGAGTGGGTGAGTGAGTGAGTGGGTGGGTGAGTGAGTGTGTGGGTGAGTGAGTGAGTGGGTAAGTGAGTGAGTGAGTGGGTGGGTGAGTGAGTGAGTGGGTAAGTGAGTGAGTGGGTGGGTGAGTGGGTGAATGGGTGGGTGAGTGGGTGAGTGAGTGGGTGAGTGGGTGGGTGAGTGGGTGGGTGAGTGGGTGAGTGGGTGAGTGGGTGGGTGGGTGGGTGAGTGGGTGAGTGAGTTAGTGGGTGAGTGAGTGGGTGAGTGGGTGGGTGAGTGGGTGAGTGAGTGAGTGGGTGATTGAGTGAGTGGGTGGGTGAGTGAGTGGGTGGGTGAGTGAGTGGGTGAGTGAGTGGGTGAGTGAGTGAGTGGGTGAGTGGGTGAGTGAGTGAGTGGGTGGATTGATGGATGAGTGAATGAATAAGTTCTTGAGTGCGTGAATGAGTTACTGCTTGAGTGGGTGAGTGAATTGGTGAGTGAATTGGTGAGTGGGTGAGTTAGTTAATTAGTGTGTGAGTGAGTGAATGTGTGTGAGAGTCTGTGAGTCTGTGAGTGTGTATCTATCTGTGTATGTGTGGTGTATGGGTGTGTGTTAGTGAGTGAATGTGTGTGTGTCTGTCTGTGCGTGTGTGTGGTGTATGGGTGTGTGTGAGTGAATGTGTGTGTGGTGTATGGGTGTGTGTGAGTCAGTGTGTGTGTATGTGAGTCAGTGTGTGTGTCTCTTTGTGTGTGTGGTGTCTGTGTGTGTGGTGTATGGGTGTGTGTGAGTGAGTGAATGTGTGTGTGTCTGTGTGTGTGGTGTATAGGTGTGTGTGTGAGTCAGTGTGTGTGTGTGTATGTGAGTCAGTGTGTGTCTATCTATCTGTGTGTGTGTTGGTGTCTGGGTGTGTGTGTGTGAGTCAATGTGTGTGTGTGTCTATCTGTGTGTGTGTGTCGTGTATGGGTGTGTGTGAGTCAGTGTGTGTGTCTATGCCGAAACAGCTTTTGTTCGGCCGGATCGAGGGGGCTAAACGGGCGCGGCACGGGCTAGAGAAGAGATGGAGTGATGTGGTACAGGAGGACGTGGAGCTGAGTGGACTTGCCGATGACTGGTACCAGCGGTGTCAAGATCGGCCTCTGTGGAGGAGGCTCGTGATGGACGCTGCTACTGGGCAGTTGGAGGCAGTCGCCCTCCAACAGCAACGGAGGGCGGAGGAGCGACGCTCAGAACAACGAGCGGAGCGCCGGGTGGCTAAAGCACAGCAGGTTGGCACAGTAGGGGGCACAGGTGGTGCATCAGCCAGTCATCTCAGTCAGTCGACCTGTGGCACCTGGGTCTGCCCCGTGACCTCCTGCCAGCGGGCGTTCGACACTTCACGTGGCCTCAGGGTGCACATAGCCTGGCACAAGCGTCGTGGTGACGTCACCGCCACTTAGTGGCGAATGGCGGTTGTTGTTGTGTCTATGTGTGTGTCTATGTGTGTGTGTCTATGTGTGTCTGTGTGTGTGGGGAGCGGTGGTGTAGGCGTGGCTAGCCCTACGCTGCTCACGGCCAACACCGTGTGGGGGCGCGGCGTCCAACCCCTACGCAGACACACAGACACACACAGACACACACACAGACACACACACACAGACACACACACAGACACACACACACAGACACACACACAGACACACACACACAGACACACACACACACACACACAGACACACACACAGACACACACACAGACACACACACAGACACACACACACACAGACACACACACACACAGACACACACACACACAGACACACACACAGACACACACAGACACACACACAGACACACACACAGACACACACACAGACACACACACAGACACACACACACACAGACACACACAGACACACACACAGACACACACACAGACACACACACAGACTCACACACACAGACACACACACAGACACACACACACAGACACACACACAGACACACACACAGACACACACACAGACACACACACACACAGACACACACAGACACACACATACACACAGACACACAGACACACACACACACAGACACACACATACACACACACACAGTCACACACACACACAGACACACACACAGACACACACAGACACACACACAGACACACACACACAGACACACAGTCACACACACACAGACACACAGTCACACACACACAGACACAGTCACACACACACAGACACACACACAGACACACACACACAGACACACACACAGTCACACACACACACAGACACACACACAGACACACACACACAGACACACACACACAGACACACACACACACAGACACACACTAAGATGACTGACTGAGATGACTGAGATGACATAGATCACATAAATGACTGAGATGACTGAGATGACTGATTGAGATGACTGAGATGACTGACTAAGATGACTGAGATGACATAGAAGACATAAATGACTGTGATGACTGACTGAGATGACTGAGATGACAGATGACTGATTAAGATGACTGAGATGACATAGATGACATAAATGACTGAGATGACTGACTGAGATGACTGACTGAGATGACTGAGATGACAGATGACTGATTAAGATGACTGAGATGACATAGATGACATAAATGACTGAGATGACTGAGATGACTGACTGAGATGACTGAGATGACTGAGATGACTGACTAAGATGACTGACTAAGATGACTGACTGAGATGACTGAGATGACTGAGGCACAAATCAGCCAATCAGGGGCAGGCCAGACCACAACCCCCAGCACAGCTGGGCAAAGACGTCCCGACTATGGGTGTGAACCTATCACTCAGAAGAGACCACCCACAACCCAGCCCCCCACCATCCCAGCCCCCCACAACCCAGCCCCCCACAACCCAGCCCCCCACCATCCCAGCCCCCCACCAACCCAGCCGCCCCCCACCACCCTAGCCCCCCCACCATTGTGATTGAGGAACGAGAGAGGCGGAGCTGAAGGAGGCCATTTTATTTTTTATTGTTGAGAATCGACGGCGGAGTTGGAGAGACTCCGAGCTGAAGACGACTCGCTCCACGTGACTCCACCACGTGACCCCACCACGTGACCCCACGTGGCCAGCCAGGTAGCCCCACACGACTCGCTCCACGTGACTCCACCACGTGACCCCACCACGTGACCCCACGTGGCCAGCCAGGTAGCTCCCCACACGGCTGCTCCACGTGGCTCCACCTGGCTCCACCACGTGACCCCACGTGGCTCCGCGCGGGAGTCACGTGACCCCACGTGGCCCCGCGCGGGAGTCACGTGACCCCACGCCCGCTACTTGTAGGCCCAGACTCGGATGGCTCGCACCTGCAGCGCCGCGTCCTCCCCATTGTTCACTGCGCGCTTCCACGTGGGGAACCACTTGGCCCTGCACGTGGTGGGGGGGGGGGGGTAGGGGGGTCACGTGCTCGGCGCCGACGTCACCGTGGCACACGTCACAAAGGAAGCAGCGGACGAAGGTCGCCTCTCGCCCCAGGTAGCCTCTAGCAGGGCTGTAGGGGCAAGTGCTGCTAGTGGCGAGTAGCACCACCTATGATGTACACACACAGACAAAGCTCCCCCAGGTAGCCTCTAGCAGGGCTGTAGGGGCAAGTGCTGCACACTCACTCACTCACTCACACTCACTCACTCCCACACTCACTCCCACACTCACTCACACTCACTCACACTCACTCACACTCACTCACATTCACTCACTCACATTCACTGACTCACACTCACTCACTCACACTCCCTCCCACACTCACTCACACACACTCACTCACAATCACCCACTCACACTCACCCACTCACAGTCACTCACTCACCCACTCACACCCACACTCACTCAATCACTCACACTCACTCACACTCACCCACTCACACTCACCCACTCACACTCACTCACACTCAACCACTCTCACTCACTCACTCACACTCACCCACCCACTCACACTCACTCACACTCACTCACACACTCACTCACCCACTCACACTCATCCACTCACACTCACTCACACTCGCCCACTCACACTCACCCACTCACCCACTCATACTCATCCACTCACACACACTCACTCACACTCACACTCACCCACTCACACACTCACCCACTCACTCACTCACCCACTCACACTCACACACTCACACTCACACACTCAACCACTCTCACACCCACTCACTCACACTCACACCCACCCACTCACACTCACTCACTCACACTCACTCACTCACACTCACCCACCCACTCACACTCACACACTCAACCACTCTCACACCCACTCACTCACACTCACACTCACCCACTCACACTCACACACACTCACTCACACTCACTCACTCACACACTCACTCACTAACACTCACCCACCCACCCACTCACACTCACACACTCAACCACTCTCACACCCACTCACCCACTCACACTCAACCACTCACACTCACACACTCACACTCAACCACTCACACTCACTCACACTCACTCACACTCACCCACTCACACTCACTCACACTCACCCACTCATACTCATCCACTCACACACACTCACTCACACTCACCTACTCACACACTCACCCACTCACCCACTCACCCACTCACTCACACTCACACACACTCACCCACTCACTCACACTCACTCACACTCACCCACCCACTCACACTCACTCACACTCACTCACTCACACTCACTCACTCACACACTCACTCACTCACACTCACCCACCCACCCACTCACACTCACACACTCAACCACTCTCACACCCACTCACTCACACTCACCCACCCACTCACACTCACTCACACTCACTCACACTCACTCACTCACACTCACCCACCCACCCACTCACACTCACACACACTCACTCACACTCACTCACTCACACACTCACTCACTAACACTCACCCACCCACTCACACTCACACACTCAACCACTCTCACACCCACTCACTCACACTCACCCACCCACTCACCCACCCACCCACTCACACTCACTCACACTCACTCACTCACTCACACACTCACTCACTCACACTCAACCACTCACTCACACTCACTCACACTCACTCACACTCACTCACACTCACTCACCCACTCACCCACTCACCTACTCACACTCACTCACACTCACTCACTCACACTCACTCACTCACACTCACTCACCCACTCACCCACTCACCTACTCACACTCACACCCACTCACACCCACACCACCCCCCAACCACCCACTTGGCATTGTAGAAGTCCAGCATAGCGGTGGGGGCGCTGTTATTCCAGGGCTTGGGGTGAGGCCGATTGGTCCACTCGTCCAGGAAGTTGGACGCTCCGCCCACCGCCAGGTTCAGCACCAGGTAGAACTGGCGGCAGGAGCGGTGGCGCTGCGGTTAGCGCGCCGGCAAACTCCAGCGGAGCTTCGAGAGTTCGATTACCGCTCACGGACAACGCCACCACCGCCACCACCACCACCACCACCACCGCCATCACCACCACTGCCACAACCACCACCACCACTGCCACCACCGCCACCGCCACTGCCACCACCACCACCACCGCCACCAACACCACTGCCACAACCACCACTGCCACAACCACCACCACCACTGCCACCACCGCCACCGCCACTGCCACCACCACCACCACCGCCACCAACACCACTGCCACAACCACCACCACCACTGCCGCCACCGCCACTGCCACCACCACCACCACCGCCACCAACACCACTGCCACCACCGCCGCCACCGCCACCACCAACGCCACCACCACCACCACCGCCATCACTGCCACAACCGCCACCACCACTGCCACCACCACCACCGCCACTGCCACCACCACCACCACCACCGCCACCATCACCACTGCCACCACTGCCACAACCACCGCCACCACCACCACCACCACCGCCACCTCCTCCTCCTCCCCCAGTCTCCCCACCACCTCCCTCCTCCACACCACTCCGCTCACCTCCTGGTCGAACGGGGCCATCTTCGAGGCGCCCTTCCAGGGGTTGTCCACGTGGCTGGGGAACTCTCCCAGGGCCCAGAAGCCTCCGGCGCCAGGAGCCACCTTCAGGATCTCTTCCCCGTCCAGGAGGAACCTGAAACCAAAGGCCAAAGACGACTATGCCTGCAACGGGGTGCCAGGGGCAAGCGCTGTTACCGGGCAGGAGGGAGCTGTGAGTGAAGGAGGGAGCCGTGGGTGAAGGAGGGAGCCGTGGGTGAAGGAGGGAGCTGTGGGTGAAGGAAGGAGCTGTGGGTGAAGGAGGGAGCCGTGAGTGAAGGAGAGAGCCGTGGGTGAAGGAGGGAGCCGTGGGTGAAGGAGGGAGCCGTGGGTGAAGGAAGGAGCTGTGAGTGAAGGAGAGAGCTGTGGGTGAAGGAGAGAGCTGTGGGTGAAGGAGGGAGCCGTGAGTGAAGGAGAGAGCCGTGGGTGAAGGAGGGAGCCGTGAGTGAAGGAGAGAGCCGTGGGTGAAGGAGAGAGCCGTGGGTGAAGGAGGGAGCCGTGGGTGAAGGAGGGAGCCGTGGGTGAAGGAGGGAGCCGCGGGTGAAGGAGAGAGCTGGGGGTGAAGGAGAGAGCTGTGGGTGAAGGAGAGAGATGTGGGTGAAGGAGAGAGCTGTGGGTGAAGGAGAGAGCTGTGGGTGAAGGATGGAGCTGTGGGTGAAGGAGGGAGCCGTGGGTGAAGGAGGGAGCCGTGGGTGAAGGAGAGAGCTTTGGGTGAGGGAGAGAGCCGTGAGTGAAGGAGAGAGCCATAGGTGAAGGAGAGAGCCGTGGGTGAAGGAGGGAGCCGTGAGTGAAGGAGGGAGCCGTGGGTGAAGAAGGGAGCCGTGGGTGAAGGAAAGAGCTGTGGGTGAAGGAGAGAGCTGGGGTGAAGGAGGGAGCCGTGGGTGAAGGAGGGAGCCGTGGGTGAAGGAGGGAGCCGTGGGTGAAGGAGAAAGCTGTGGGTGAAGGAGGGAGCCATGGGTGAAGGAGAGAGCTGTGAGTGAAGGAGAGAGCTGTGAGTGAAGGAGAGAGCTGTGAGTGAAGGAGGGGGGCGTGGGTGAAGGAGAGAGCTGTGGGTGAAAGAGGGAGCTGTGGGTGAAGGAGGGAGCCGTGGGTGAAGGAGGGAGCCGTGGGTGAAGGAGAGAGCTTTGGGTGAAGGAGAGAGCCGTGAATGAAGGAGAGAGCCATGGGTGAAGGAGGGAGCCGTGAGTGAAGGAGGGAGCCGTGAGTGAAGGAGGGAGCCGTGGGTGAAGGAGGGAGCCGTGGGTGAAGGAGAGAGCTGTGGGTGAAGGAGGGAGCCGTGGGTGAAGGAGGGAGCCGTGGGTGAAGGAGGGAGCCGTGGGTGAAGGAGAGAGCTGTGGGTGAAGGAGGGATCCATGGGTGAAGGAGAGAGCTGTGAGTGAAGGAGAGAGCTGTGAGTGAAGGAGAGAGCTGTGAGTGAAGGAGGGAGCCGTGGGAACAATGTTGATGATGCTCATACTGCTGATCCTGCTGATAATGATGCTGATGATGATGCTGCTGCTGCTGATGCTACTGATAGTGATGCTGCTGCTTATGATGCTGATCATGATGCTGATGACGCTGCTGATGCTGCAGACGATGAAGATGGCGATGCTCCTGATCATGCTGCTGATGCCGCTGCTGATGCTGCCGTCACCTCATGTAGTCTGGAGTTCTCTCCACCTCGTATTTGTGGAAAGCAGTCCCGAAAGTTCCCTCCTTTGCTTTCCTGCGGTGTTGGGAGAGACACGGGGGAGGGGAGGGGAGTGGAGGTAGCATCATCAAGTATTCGGAGGATGCACCGCTGTCCAATCGTCAACTTACACCGCACCAAATGAGGACAAGACGATGTCCCAAGGGGAGTGGGCATGCCGACATTTTAGCAATGCCCTTCTGGACTGGAGCGGCAGGGACAAGGACGATCGGTTGAACAACGCAGAGCAATTGGTGGGACGTGGGGAAATTGCGTGTTAAACAACAGCAGCAACAACAACAACAAAAACCACGTCAGTCGTTTGCCACGATTCTACCAGGAAATGTGTGTATGCTTCGGCGCCCGTAGTCCACAACGTAGAGCAAAGGCGGGAGATTGGCGGTTGGCGGGCGGGGGCGAATTCCAGGCTCGCTACGGCAATATCTGGAGACGCTGGAATGCCTGAAAGGTTCGCAGGAAGAAATTTAAAAAAAACCTAAGGGGGCAATTGGCACGCCGCCGTTTTGAACACACCCTGGATCTGGACTCGAGCCCAGCGCTTTTCCCTCTCGTCAGCGAAGCAGAGTGGCGGGCGCCAGGCTACGGAGGGTTTCAAACAGTCATCGGGCGGCATCAGCGGAAAGCACTGGCACTATGGACAACCTCTCTCTCCTCTCCAGAGGATGTATCCACAGGGTGACCCAGGATGACATGCGGAAGGACCAGAAGACAGGGGCCTTCTAAGAGAAGAGGTCAAAGCGAAGTGAGCCAGACGGTGGCAGTGAGCGGCCCTGGCCAGGAGCAAATCCACCGGGTGTTGACGGGTTTCACGGGGGAGTTTTATCGCCTTTTTCTGGCGCTCCCTGGAGGAGAGCCGTGCTGACGCCGGTTTCAAAACAAGGGGGGTCGCCTCAGGCACCCGACGAATGGGGGTGGAGTCTCCTCGGTGCTGAGCGCAGACTCCAAGGTCCTCGCGGAGGCTGTCGGGCGATGGGCCGAATGCGGCTGCCGCCTGATGAAGCTGGTCGCAATTTACTGGCGAAAAGCCGTGCTCTTGTGACCCGGCTCTCCAACACAGCGGTGGGTGCTCTGCTGGTGGCGAATTGGCCGCGTTCCGTTCACGTGACGAACCTCGCTCATTGGCGGGTTTAGTGGGGGGTTTTCTTTGGGATCAGATCGCGTGAACACCGCATTGCTATGCTCTCTCCGGTTCTTTCGGCAACAGCCACGTAGTTTGAAGGTTATTAATAGAGCACGACGTTTCGATGGCAATACAAGCGACCGTCTTCAGGTGAGAGAGAGAGAGGGGAAGCTACTGAAACTAGGCCTTGTGTAGGCCTGAGATGGGTGCAGCCTCGGGGCGAGAGTGCGGGGCTGGAGGCGGTCTGCCTGAGGCTGGGCAAGTGGCTGTCGCATTGTGAGAGATTAGCGTGTCAATGCACGAGCTTAGCATGCCACAGCATCGGCGACTGAGCGAGGAGGACATCCAGCCCGTCAATACAGAGGCGCCCGACCTAATGATGCAACTCAGAGAGTCGGCTGAAATCGCAGGAAGGATGGACACACCGCAGAAGGTCAAGGCTTCGCCTGCTTAATCACGTCCTTCCAATGATTGCTCAATTTGTACCCACCTTCCCGGTCGAAGTTGCGTCCGTAAAACCTATTCCTATAGCTTGTTACTGGCAAAGGAGGTCTCATAATGTGAATGCTCACCCCGAGCCCTCAATACTCTGATAGTGCGCTGTTTTTGAGTTGTACGCCTTTTGGCATCTTCTGGTCCAACACCAATGGAGACTAGGCTCTAAGAAAAGCCGTCTCGGGTGTGGACCAATCAAATTCAAGGACAGTGCCAATATTATCATCAGAGTTGTCTCTTTTGTTTGCATTTTGACTGCTTGTGCTGTGGTTATTGCAAACATGATGCCTTGAATAAAGGTGTCAGTTTTTGTGCCAGTTAAAAGGGTAAAAACCTATTACTATATCTTGTTTCTGGCAAAGGAGGTCTCATAATGTAAGTGCTCACTCCGAGCCCTCAATACTCTGATTGTGCGCTGTTTTTGAGTTGTACGCCTTTTGGCGTCTTCTGGTCCAACACCAATGGAGACTAGGCTCTAAGAAAAGCCGTCTCGGGTGTGGACCAATCAAATTCAAGGACAGTGCCAATATCATTATCAGAGTTGTCTATTTTGTTTGCATTTTGACTGCTTGTTCTGTGGTTATTGCAAACGTGACGCCTTGAATAAAGGTGTCAGTTTTTCGTGCCAGTTAAAAAGGGGTAAAACCTATCACTATATCTGGATGGCTTCATGGGCAAAGCTCCGATGATCGCCAGTGTGTTTGCAACCTAACCCGAAACACCTGCGTTGTGGAGCGGGCATGCACCGGCCGCCTCCCAAGCGTGGTGAACCTCAGGTGCTGGGACCCTTACGATCCTCGCGAAGGCTGCGCCGGTGGCGTCCTCAACCGACCGGAGAATGATCGCTGCTGCCTTCCTCTGGTCTGAGCTCTGGCACCGCCGCGGGAGTGCGGTGGGAAGGGCTGTTTGGTGCCCGTGCGGAGTCGGCTGTCTAACTTCCGGGTTAAGATGGGGGGGGCATGGATTTGTGAACGATATCATCCATTATACAGGCGGGCTCAGATCGCGTAAATGTCGTGCGTAAATGTTTGGGTTTTTTTGTTCGGTAAAGTCACGTGGACAATTATGAATATATCCACGACGTTTCAATCGCCGCACAAGCAGTCGGGTGGGAGGACGGTCATCGATGGTGGTGGTGGTGGTGATGGATGATAATAGTGATGATGATGGTGGTGGTGATGATGATGTTGATGATGGATGATGATAGTGATGATGATGGTAGTGGTGGTGGTGATGATGATGGATGATAATAGTGATAATAGTGATGATAGTGATGATGATGATGGTAGTGATGGTGTTGGTGGTGATGGATGATAATAGTGATGATAATTATGATGGTGGTGGTGGTAGTGATGGTGGTAGTGATGGTGATGGATGATAATAGTGATGATGATGGTGGTGGTGGTGGTATTGATGGTGTTGGTGATGGTAGTAGTAGTGATGGTGATGGATGAAAATAGTGATGGTGGTGGTGGTAGTGATGGTGTTGGTGATGGTAGTGGTGATGGTGGTGGTGATGGATGATGATAGTGATGATGATGATGATGGTGGTGGTAGTGATGGTGTTGGTGATGGTGGTGGTGATGATGATGATGATGATAGTGATGATGGTGGTGGTAGTGATTGTGTTGGTGATGGTGATGATGATGATAGTGATGATGATGATGGTGGTGGTAGTAGTAATTGTGTTGGTGATGGTGGTGATGGATGATGATAGTGATGATGGTATTGGTGGCAGTGATGGTGGTGGTGATGGATGATGATAGTGATGATGGTGATGATGGTGGTGGTAGTGATTGTGTTGGTTATGGTGGTGGTGATGGATGATGATAGTGATGATGATGATGGTGGTGGTAGTGATTGTGTTGGTGATGGTGGTGGTGGTGATCATGATGATGATAGTGATGACAGTGATGATGTTGGTCATGGTGAGTGAGTGAGTGAGTGAATGAGCAGTGATGATGATAATGATAATTGTCTAAAGGATCAATCTCCATTTGCAGCTTTCGTGACTGCAGGAACCTAGACTCTTTGGTTCTGTTGGGTAGAGTCATCACGCAGGAAGAAAAGTAAAATAAATCACGACATTGCGACCGGCACACAAGGTGGGACAACCACAGCAAGAACAAATCTGCTGGTTGTCCCACCTGATGACGAATGCTTGTCGTGATCCATTATTTTTCTACCTTACGTGACGTCACCGAAAGAACGAGAGAGTGCGTCGACAGCCGGGGCGGGCCTCTGTCCGGCCCGCGGGCCTTACAGAGGCCCGCAAAACCACTTGGTGTGGCCCTGCCAAAGGCAAACCGCGGGCGGGCACTCGTAATTCAACAAATCTAAGGTAGCAGCTGAAGCTGGAAAAAGCAGAGGCGAGAAGCTGCGACATCGTCGACACCGGCTGACATCATCACCACGCGCCTCGCCAAGGGGAAAGCACTTCGAGATCCATCGAAATTAGGGAGCGAGTTGATTCAATGTTTCGCCAGATGCAACGGTCAAATGTTGAAGTTGATCATTTTGCATGGCCACGCGAAATTGCGTTATGAATATGAACACCCTCCCGTGGACTGAAGGATGCCTTGCGCTGAAATGGTCCCCCGGTGGGACCCCTACCCACCGCGTCGCGTAGGTCCTCCACCAGGCGTTGAGGTCCGCGCTGGGACCCCAGTGGAGCACCGAGTCCATCTCGTCCACCCCATGAGAGACTCCCCCCGAGTCCTTCAGATCCACGTTGCCTGCGCCGCGTTGGGACCACAAAGCCGCCGGGATGAAGGAGAGAGCTCCCCCCTTCATCCACGGCTCTCTCCTTCACACATAGCTCTCTCCTTCATCCACGGCTCTCTCCTTCACCCACTACTCCCTCCTTCATCCACGGCTCTCTCCTTCACAAACGGCTCTCTCCTTCATCCACTGCTCTCTTCTTCACCCACTGCTCCCTCCTTCATCCACGGCTCTCTCCTTCACCCACGGCTCTCTCCTTCACACACAGCTCTCTCCTTCACCCACGGCTCTCTCCTTCACACACAGCTCTCTCCTTCACACACAGCTCTCTCCTTCATCCACGGCTCTCTTCTTCACCCACTGCTCCCTCCTTCATCCACGGCTCTCTCCTACACAAACGGCTCTCTCCTTCACACACAGCTCTCTCCTTCACCCACGGCTCCCTCCTTCACCCACGGCTCTCTCCTTCACCCACGGCTCTCTCCTTCACCCACGGCTCCCTCCTTCACCCACGGCTCCTTCCTTCACCCACAGCTCTCTCCTTCAACCACAGCTCCCTCCTTCACCCACGGCTCCCTCCTTCACTCACGGCTCTCTCCTTCACCCACGGCTCCCTCCTTCACCCACGGCTCCTTCCTTCACCCACAGCTCTCTCCTTCAACCACAGCTCCCTCCTTCACCCACGGCTCCCTCCTTCACCCACGGCTCCCTCCTTCACCCACGGCTCTCTCCTTCACCCACGGCTCCCTCCTTCACCCACGGCTCCCTCCTTCACCCACAGCTCCCTCCTTCACCCACGGCTCCCTCCTTCACCCACGGCTCCCTCCTTCACCCACGGCTCCCTCCTTCCCCCACGGCTCTCTCCTTCACCCACGGCTCCCTCCTTCACCCACGGCTCCCTCCTTCACCCACGGCTCCCTCCTTCACCCACGGCTCCCTCCTTCCCCCACGACTCTCTCCTTCACCCACGGCTCCCTCCTTCACCCACGGCTCCCTCCTTCACCCACGGCTCCCTCCTTCACCCACGGCTCCCTCCTTCCCCCACGACTCTCTCCTTCACCCATGACTCCCTCCTTCACCCACAGCTCCCTCCTTCACCCATGGCTCCCTCCTTCACCCACGGCTCCCTCCTTCACCCACGGCTCCCTCCTTCACCCACGGCTCCCTCCTTCACCCACGGCTCCCTCCTTCCCCCACGACTCTCTCCTTCACCCACAACTCCCTCCTTCACCCACAGCTCCCTCCTTCACCCACGGCTCCCTCCTTCACCCACAGCTCTCTCCTTCACCCACAGCTCTCTCCTTCATCCACGGATCCCTCCTTCACCCACGGCTCTCTCCTTCACCTACGGCTCTCTCCTTCACCCACGGCTCCCTCCTTCACCCACCGCTATCTCCTTCACTCACAGCTCTCTCCTTCACCCACGGCTTCCTCCTTCACCCACAGCTCCCTCCTTCACCCACGGCTCCTTCCTTCACCTACGGCTCTCCCCTTCACCCACGGCTCCCTCCTTCACCCACGGCTCCCTCCTTCATCCACGGCTCCCTCCTTCACCCACGGCTCCCTCCTTCACCCACGGCTCCCTCCTTCACCCACAGCTCCCTCCTTCACCCACGGCTCCCTCCCTCCCCCACGGCTCCCTCCTTCACCCACGGCTCTCTCCTTCACCCACGGCTCCCTCCTTCACCCACGGCTCCCTCCTTCACCCACGGCTCCCTCCTTCACCCACGGCTCCCTCCTACCCAGCCCGCTCCTGCCCAGCTCGTCCATCCACCCGCCCGTAAGCTTTCACCCCGGGACTCGACGACTTTGATGTGCCCGGAGAGAGGCCACGAGCCATAGGCGTTCCTCTTGGGGAGCAGCCAGATGCCTGCTCACGGGTACAGGGGGAGGAGGGAGGAGGGGAGGGTGGTGGGGAGGGAGGAGGGGGAGGGTGAGTTTTGGGGGGTCGCAGTCGTCACTACGTGGGGGTGTCCCCTCCCACCCACCCCCCCTCTCCCCACCCCCCTGTCCCCCCTCCCTCCCTCCCTCACTCCCTCCCTCTCCCTCATCCCCACCGACTCACCAGGCCAGAGCCAATCCCCGGTGGGCATCCGCGCGGTGACCTCGAGGCGCCCGTAGGTGAAGGCGAAGGAGCGGGCCGTGCGGATGCTGGCCGACTGCACCGGGTTCACCACCGACGCTCCCGGCCGGCCAGAGCGCTCGCAGCCGTAGAACGCCACTCCGGTACACTCGTCAGGAGGGTGCAGGCCTGTGGTGGGGGGCAGAGGTGGTGGGGGGGTGGGTGGGTGGGTGGGTGGGTGAGGAGGAAGTTGAGTGGGTGGTTGGTTGGGGAAGGGGTGGGTGGGTTGGTTCAGAAGGGGAGGTTAATGGTGCTGACTCGCTCGTCCTTAGCCAACACACTCACTCAATTACCCACTCACCAACTCACTCATCCACTCGCCTACTAATCTACCCACCTACTAATCTACCCACCCACTCACCCACCCACTCACCCACCCACCAACTCGCTCGCCCATCCACTCGCTCACCCAACCGCCCACTCACCCACTCACCCACTCACCCACCCACCCACTCACTCACCCACCCACCCACCCACTCACCCACTCACCTACTCACCCACCCACCTACTCACCCACCCACTCACCCACCCACCCACCAACTCGCTCACCCACCCGCTCGCCCACCCGCTCGCCCACCCACTCGCTCACCCAACCACCCACCCACCCACACACTCACCCACCCACACACTCACCCACCCACTCACCCACCCACCCACTCACCCACTCATCCACCCACCTACTCACCCACCCACTCACCCACCCACCAACTCACTCGCCCACCCACTCGCTCACCCAACCGCCCACCCACCAACTCACTCACCCACCCACCCACTCACCCACTTACCCACCCACCCACTCACTCACTCACCCACCCACCCACCCACTCACTCACCCACTCACCCACTCACCCACTAACTCACCCACTAACTCACCCACTCACCCACCCACTCACCCACTCACCCACTCACCCACCCACTCACCCACTCACTCACCCACTCACTCACTCACCCACCCACTCACCCACTCACCCACTCACCCACCCACTCACCCACTCACCCACTCACCCACTCACTCACCCACTCACCCACCCACCCACCCACCCCACACGAGGCAGGGAGGCTCTACCCCTCACCCCAGATGCTCAGGGTCCCCGTGCGAACGAACTCCTCTCCGTAGACCTCTTCCGTGAGCGTGGGGCGGATGAACAGAGTCCCGTCCCGCACGTAGCTGTTCCTTCTGCTGTTGGTGTAGTGTTGGAACTCCCACGCCTACATAGACACACACACATAGACACACACACATAGACACACACACATAGACACACACATAAACACACACACATAGACACACACACATAGACACACACACATAGACACACACACATAGACACACACATAAACACACACACATAGACACACACACATAGACACACACACATAGACACACACATAAACACACACACATAGACACACACATAGACACACACACATAGACACACACACATAGACACACACATAAACACACACACATAGACACACACACATAGACACACACACATAGACACACACATAAACACACACACATAGACACACACACATAGACACACACACAGACACACACACACATAGACACACACACATAGACACACACACATAGACACACACACAGACACACACACACATAGACACACACACAGAAACACACACACATAGACACACACACACATAGACACACACACACATAGACACACACACATAGACACACACACATAGACACACACACACACATAGACACATACACAGACACACACACACATAGACACATAGACACACACATAGACACACACATAGACACACACACATAGACACACACACATAGACACAAACACATAAACACACACACATAGACACACACATAGACACACACACACATAGACACACACACACAAAGACACACACACATAGACACACACACACATAGACACACACATAGACACACACACATATAGACACACACAACAAAGACAAACAAAGATCCCCCGTATAGCCTTAACAGACTGTAGGGGCAAGTGCTGTTAGCGAGCACCTATGAAGGCCGGAACGGTACACGAGGGGGTGGGTGGCCAGCACCACGCCCGACCGCCTTTGTCTCCCTAGTGGCAATGTTTACACACCGCACCAGGTACTCATTTGAGGCTGAGTCGACCTAGGGGAGGCCCGGGACCGGTTCAGATAATCGTCACTGGTGTTGGCCGTGAGCGAGAATCGAACCCAGGTCACCAGGTTCATAGCGCAGCGTAGCGCTAACCGCTACACATAGACATAGACACACACACATAGACACACACACACATAGACACAACAACAACAACCGCCATTCGCCACTAAGTGGCGGTGACGTCACCACGACGCTTGTGCCAGGCTATGTGCACCCTGAGGCCACGTGAAGTGTCGAACGCCCGCTGGCAGGATGTCACGGGGCAGACCCAGGTGCCACGGGTCGACTGACTGAGATGACTGGCTGATGCACCACCTGTGCCCCCTACTGTGCCAACCTGCTGTGCTTTAGCCACCTGGCGCTCCGCTCGTTGTTCTGAGCGCCGCTCCTCCACCCTCCGTTGTTGTTGGAGGGCGACTACCTCCAACTGCCCAGTAGCGTCCTGCACGAGCCTCCTCCACAGAGGCCGATCTTGACACCGCTGGTACCAGTCATCGGCAAGTCCACTCAGCTCCACGTCCTCCTGTACCACATCACTCCATCTCTTCTCTAGCCCGTGCCGCGCCCGCTTAGCCCCCTCAATCCGGCCGAACAAAAGCTGTTTCGGCATGCGGTGGCTGGGCATGCGGGCTACATGACCCAGCCATCGCAGTCTTCCCCGCCGGAGGAGATCACCGATGGGACCTTGCCCAGATCTTTCAAGGATTTGTGAGCTCCTCACACAATCCAGTCTGGTTAAACCCAGGATGGATCGTAGGCAGGCCAGCCTAAATGTTTCTAACCGGCGAAGATGTTCCATTAGGGGGGTCCACGTTTCGCAAGCGTAGAGAAGGGAGGGAATGACCGTGGCCGAGAAGACCTGAAGCTTAGTGCGGAGCGACAGACCAGGTAGCTTCCACACAGCGTTACGCAACCGATGAAAAGATATTGCCGCTCGACTGATTCGGAGCGAGACCTCTGCTGTTAAACCGGAGCCGGTCATAAGCACACTGCCCGGGTATGGGAAACTCTCCACTCTCTCCACAACTGCCCCATCACTGATTGGGAGTTGTGGGGGTGGAGTGTCCGATGGTACAAAATACCCAGGCAGGTGCTTAGTTTTGGTGGGGCTGATGGTAAGGCCCCACCTCTTAGAGTCAGGGTGAGGGTCAGGGTGAGTGTGAGGGTGAGTGAGTGTGAGGGTCAGGGTAAGTGTGAGGGTCAGGGTAAGTGTGAGGGTCAGGGTGAGGGAGAGTGTGAGGGTGAGTGAGGGTGAGGGTGAGTGAGTGTGAGTGAGGTTGAGTGTGAGGGTGAGTGAGTGTGAGGATGAGTGAGTGTGAGTGTGATGGTGAGTGAGGGTGAGTGTGATGGTGAGTGTGAGGATGAGTGTGATGGTGAGTGAGTGTGATGGTGAGTGAGTGTGAGGGTGAGTGTGATGGTGAGTGAGTGTGAGGATGAGTGTGATGGTGAGTGAGTGTGAGGGTGAGTGTGAGTGAGGGTGAGTGTGATGGTGAGTGAGTGTGAGTGTGATGGTGAGTGTGAGGGTGAGTGAGTGTGAGTGAGGGTGAGTGTGATGGTGAGTGAGTGTGAGTGTGATGGTGAGTGTTATGGTGAGTGAGTGTGAGTGTGATGGTGAGCAAGTGTGAGGGTGAGTGAGTGTGAGTGTGAGTGAGTGTGAGTGAGGTTGAGTGTGAGGGTGAGTGTGAGTGAGTGTGATGGTGAGTGAGTGTGATGGTGAGTGTGATGGTGAGTGTGAGGGTGAGTGTGAGGGTGAGTGAGTGTGAGTGAGGGTGAGTGTGATGGTGAGTGTGATGGTGAGTGAGTGTGAGTATGATGGTGAGTGATGGTGAGTGTGAGTATGATGGTGAGTGAGTGTGAGGATGAGTGTGATGGTGAGTGTGAGGATGAGTGTGAGGGTGAGTGTGAGTGTGATGGTGAGTGAGTGTGAGGATGAGTGTGATGGTGAGTGAGTGTGAGGGTGAGTGAGTGTGAGTGTGATGGTGAGTGTGAGGGTGAGTGTGAGTATGATGGTGAGTGTGAGGGTGAGTGTGAGTATGATGGTGAGTGTGATGGTGAGTGAGGGTGAGTGTGAGGGTGATGGTGAGTGAGTGTGATGGTGAGTGAGTGTAAGGATGAGTGTGATGGTGGGTGAGTGTGACGGTGAGTGTGATGGTGAGTGTGATGGTGAGTGTGAGTGAGTGTGATGGTGAGTGTGAGGGTGAGTGATGGTGAGTGTGATGGTGAGTGTGAATGAGTGTGAGGGTGAGAGTGAGTGTGAGTGAGGGTGAGTTTGATAGTAAGTGTGATGGTGATGGTGAGTGTGATGGTGAGTGAGTGTGAGTGTGATGGTGAGTGTGAGTGAGTGTGATGGTGAGTGTGACGGTGAGTGTGAGTGAGAGTGTGAGTGATGGTGAGTGTGAGTGTGTGTGAGTGTGATGGTGAGTGTGATGGTGAGAGTGAGTGTGACGGTGAGTGATGGTGAGTGTGAGTGAGTGTGAGTGATGGTGAGTGTGAGGGTGAGTATGAGTGTGAGTGAGTGTGAGTGTGATGGTGAGTGTGATGGTGAGAGTGAGTGTGAGTGAGTGTGAGTGATGGTGAGTGTGAGTGTTATGGTGAGTGTGAGTGAGTGTGATGGTGAGTGTGATGGTGAGAGCGAGTGTGAGTGATGGTGAGTGTGAGTGTGATAGTGAGTGAGTGTGAGTGAGTGTGAGTGAGTGTGAGTGAGGGTGAGTGTGATGGTGAGTGTGTGAGTGTGAGTGAGGGTGAGTGTGATGGTGAGAGTGAGTGTGAGTGAGTTTGATGGTGAGTGAGTGTTATGGTGAGTGAGTATGAGTGTGATGGTGAGTGTGAGTGTTATGGTGAGTGTGAGTGAGTGTGAGTGAGTGTGAGTGATGGTGAGTGTGAGTGTTATGGTGAGTGAGGGTGAGTGTGAGTGATGGTGAGTGTGAGTGTGTGAGTGAGTGTGATGGTGTGAGTGAGTGTGAGTGAGTGTGATGGTGAGTGAGTGTGAGGGTGAGTGTGATGGTGAGTGAGTGTGAGGATGAGTGTGATGGTGAGTGAGTGTGAGGGTGAGTGTGAGTGAGGGTGAGTGTGATGGTGAGTGAGTGTGAGTGTGATGGTGAGTGTGAGGGTGAGTGAGTGTGAGTGAGGGTGAGTGTGATGGTGAGTGAGTGTGAGTGTGATGGTGAGTGTTATGGTGAGTGAGTGTGAGTGTGATGGTGAGCAAGTGTGAGGGTGAGTGAGTGTGAGTGTGAGTGAGTGTGAGTGAGGTTGAGTGTGAGGGTGAGTGTGAGTGAGTGTGATGGTGAGTGAGTGTGATGGTGAGTGTGATGGTGAGTGTGAGGGTGAGTGTGAGGGTGAGTGAGTGTGAGTGAGGGTGAGTGTGATGGTGAGTGTGATGGTGAGTGAGTGTGAGTATGATGGTGAGTGATGGTGAGTGTGAGTATGATGGTGAGTGAGTGTGAGGATGAGTGTGATGGTGAGTGTGAGGATGAGTGTGAGGGTGAGTGTGAGTGTGATGGTGAGTGAGTGTGAGGATGAGTGTGATGGTGAGTGAGTGTGAGGGTGAGTGAGTGTGAGTGTGATGGTGAGTGTGAGGGTGAGTGTGAGTATGATGGTGAGTGTGAGGGTGAGTGTGAGTATGATGGTGAGTGTGATGGTGAGTGAGGGTGAGTGTGAGGGTGATGGTGAGTGAGTGTGATGGTGAGTGAGTGTAAGGATGAGTGTGATGGTGGGTGAGTGTGACGGTGAGTGTGATGGTGAGTGTGATGGTGAGTGTGAGTGAGTGTGATGGTGAGTGTGAGGGTGAGTGATGGTGAGTGTGATGGTGAGTGTGAGTGAGTGTGAGGGTGAGAGTGAGTGTGAGTGAGGGTGAGTTTGATAGTAAGTGTGATGGTGATGGTGAGTGTGATGGTGAGTGAGTGTGAGTGTGATGGTGAGTGTGAGTGAGTGTGATGGTGAGTGTGACGGTGAGTGTGAGTGAGAGTGTGAGTGATGGTGAGTGTGAGTGTGTGTGAGTGTGATGGTGAGTGTGATGGTGAGAGTGAGTGTGACGGTGAGTGATGGTGAGTGTGAGTGAGTGTGAGTGATGGTGAGTGTGAGGGTGAGTATGAGTGTGAGTGAGTGTGAGTGTGATGGTGAGTGTGATGGTGAGAGTGAGTGTGAGTGAGTGTGAGTGATGGTGAGTGTGAGTGTTATGGTGAGTGTGAGTGAGTGTGATGGTGAGTGTGATGGTGAGAGCGAGTGTGAGTGATGGTGAGTGTGAGTGTGATAGTGAGTGAGTGTGAGTGAGTGTGAGTGAGTGTGAGTGAGGGTGAGTGTGATGGTGAGTGTGTGAGTGTGAGTGAGGGTGAGTGTGATGGTGAGAGTGAGTGTGAGTGAGTGTGATGGTGAGTGAGTGTTATGGTGAGTGAGTATGAGTGTGATGGTGAGTGTGAGTGTTATGGTGAGTGTGAGTGAGTGTGAGTGAGTGTGAGTGATGGTGAGTGTGAGTGTTATGGTGAGTGAGGGTGAGTGTGAGTGATGGTGAGTGTGAGTGTGTGAGTGAGTGTGATGGTGTGAGTGAGTGTGAGTGAGTGTGATGGTGAGTGTGATGGTGAGTGTGAGTGAGTGTGATGGTGAGTGTGATGGTGAGTGTGATGGTGAGTGTGAGTGAGTGTGATGGTGAGAGTGAGTGTGATGGTGAGAGTGAGTGTGAGTGAGTGTGATGGTGAGTGAGTGTGAGTGTTATGGTGAGTGTGAGTGAGTGTGATGGTGAGAGTGAGTGTGAGTGAGTGTGAGTGAGGGTGAGTGTGATGGTGAGTGTGTGAGTGTGAGTGAGGGTGAGTGTGATGGTGAGAGTGAGTGTGAGTGAGTTTGATGGTGAGTGAGTGTTATGGTGAGTGAGTATGAGTGTGATGGTGAGTGTGATGGTGAGTGTGAGTGTTATGGTGAGTGTGAGTGAGTGTGAGTGAGTGTGAGTGATGGTGAGTGTGAGTGTTATGGTGAGTGAGGGTGAGTGTGAGTGATGGTGAGTGTGAGTGTGTGAGTGAGTGTGATGGTGTGAGTGAGTGTGAGTGAGTGTGATGGTGAGTGTGATGGTGAGTGTGAGTGAGTGTGATGGTGAGTGTGATGGTGAGTGTGATGGTGAGTGTGAGTGAGTGTGATGGTGAGAGTGAGTGTGAGTGTGATGGTGAGAGTGAGTGTGAGTGAGTGTGATGGTGAGTGAGTGTGAGAGTGAGTGTTATGGTGAGTGTGAGTGAGTGTGATGGTGAGAGTGAGTGTGAGTGAGTGTGAGTGAGGGTGAGTGTGATGGTGAGTGTGTGAGTGTGAGTGAGGGTGAGTGTGATGGTGAGAGTGAGTGTGAGTGAGTTTGATGGTGAGTGAGTGTGATGGTGAGTGAGTATGAGTGTGAGTGAGTGTGATGGTGAGTGTGTGAGTGTGAGTGAGGGTGAGTGTGATGGTGTAAGTGAGTGTGAGTGAGTGTGATGGTGAGTATGAGTGTGATGGGGAGTGTGAGAGTGTGAGTGTTATGGTGAGTGTGAGTGAGTGTGAGTGAGTGTGATGGTGAGTGTGATGGTGAGTGTGATGGTGAGTGTGATGGTGAGTGTGATGGTGAGTGTGATGGTGAGTGTGATGGTGAGTGTGATGGTGAGTGTCTCACCCCACCACCGGCCAGCGTGTTTTCGTGCTCCCACGTGTCCAGGTCAAAGCTCTCCCACAGCTCCTCCAGGACGAGGCCGTTGCAAGGAGCGGCTGTCTGGTCGCAGAAGTCCTGGCACGGGAACGTGGAGCACGCGGGGGCCACGGCGTCTGGGGGGGGGGGGGGGGGTTAGTAACAACAACAAACAACATCATCATCATCACAAGCATAGTCACTCACCCACTCATCCACCCGCTCACTCACTCATTCACCCACCCACTCACTCATTCACCCACTCACTCACCCACTCACTCATCCACCCACTCACTCACCTACCCACCCACCCACTCACCTACCCACTCACCCACCCACTCACCCACCCACTCACCCACCCACTCAACGACCCACTCACCCACCCACTCACCCACTCACTCACTCACCCACTCACTCACTCACCCACTCATTCACCCACTCACTCACCCAGCCACTCACTCACCCACGCACTCACTCACCCACTCACTCATTCACCCACTCACTCACCCACCCACCCACTCACTCACCCACCCACTCACTCATTCACTCACCCAACCACTCACTCACTCACCCACTCACTCACCCAGTCACTCACTCACCCACCCACTCACTCACTCACCCACCCACTTACTCATTCACCCACCCACTCACTCACCACTCACCCACTCACTCACCCAGCCACTCACTCACCCACCCACTCACTCACTCACCCACCCACTTACTCATTCACCCACCCACTCATTCACTCACCCACCCACTCACTCACTCACTCGCTCACTCCCTCCCTCACTCACCCACTCACTCACTCACTCACCCACTCACTCACCCAGCCACTCACTCACCCACCCACTCACCCACCCACTCACTCACTCACTCACCCACTCACTCACTCACTCACCCACCCACCCACTCACCCACTCACTCACCCACCCACCCAGCCACCCACTCACTCACTCACCCACCCACCCACCCGATTATTCACCCCCACTCACTCATCCACCCACCCACCCACTCACTCACCCACTCACTCATCCACCCACCCACCCACTCACTCACCCACTCACTCACCCACTCGCTCATTCACCCACCCACTCATCCAGCCACTCACTCACTCACCTACGAACGCACTTACTCACTCATCCACTCATCCACCCTCTCATCCACCCACTCATCTACTCACTCACCCACCCACTAACCTACTCACTCACCCACTCACTCACCCACTCACCCCCATCACCACCCCCACCACCACCCCCACCACCACCCCCATCACCACCCCCACCACCACCCCCACCACCACCCCCACCACCATCATCACCACCCCCACCACTCACTGACCCACTCACCCACTCACCCACTCACCCACCCACTCACTCACTCGCTCACTCCTCACTCACCCACTCACTAATTTGACCCACTCACTCACCCAGCCACTCACTCACCCACCCATCCACTAACTCACTCACCCACCCACTCACCCACTCACTCAATCACCCACTCACCCACTCACTCACCCACCCACTCACTCACTCACCCACCCACCCACTCACTCACTCACCCACCCACCCACTCACTCACTCGCTAACTCCCTCACTCACTCACACACTCACTCACCCAGCCACTCACTCACCCACCCACTCACTCACCCATCCACTCACTCACCCACTCACTCACTCACCCACCCACCCACTCACCCACTCACTCACTCACCCACCCACCCACTCACCCACTCACTCACTCACCCACTCACTCACTCACCCACCCACCCACCCAATTACTCACCCCCACTCACTCATCCACCCACCCACCCACTCACTCATTCACCCACCCACTCACCCACTCACTCACCCACTCACCCCCACCACCACCCCCACCACAACCACCACCACCACCACCACCCCCACCACCACCCCCACCACCACCACCACTACCACCGCCATTACCACCACCACCACCATCACCACCACCACCCCCACCCCCCCCAAAACCCCCACCACCCCCACCAACACCCCCCCCCCACCACCACCCCCACCACCACCACCACCACCCCCACCACCACCCCCACCACCACCACCACCCTCACCACCCCCACCACCACCACCACCACCACCCCCACCACCACCCCCACCACCACCACCACCACCACCCCCACCACCACCACCACCACCATCACCACCACCACCCCCACCACCCCCACCACCACCACCCCCACCCCCACCATCACCACCACCACCACCACCTTCCCCACCACCACCCCCACCACCACCACCACCCCCAGCCCCACCACCACCACCCCCACCACCGAAGTGAGTGTTGCGTCACAAAGGGAACTTGTACCCAGCGGCGTGGGGAGCAGCACGGACACGAGGAGCAGCAGCGTGCTCACGGACATCCACCCGTGGTGGGCATGGCAAGCCATCACACGTCACCTGCGGTGGACATCAACAACAACAACATCAACATCAACAACAACATCAACAACAACATCAACAACAACATCAACAACATCTACAACATCAACAACAACATCAACAACATCTACAACATCAACAACAACAACATCATTAACAACATCAACAACAACAACATCAACAACATCAACAACATCAACAACAACATCAACAACATCAACAACATCAACAACAACATCAACAACATCAACAACAACATCAACAACAACATCAACAACAACATCAACAACAACAACATCAACAACATCAACAACAACATCAACAACATCAACAACATCTACAACAACAACATCAACAACATCTACAACAACAACATCAACAACATCAACAACAACATCAACAACATCAACAATAACAACAACAACATCTACAACATCAACAACAACATCAACAACATCAACAACAACATCAACAACATCAACAACAACATCAACAACATCAACAACAACATCAACAACAACATCTACAACATCAACAAAAACATCACCACCGACATCAACACAGCGATCCCCATGGCAACGGTTGCCAAGGTAACGGAACCACCACTCACCTCCCACTTGTTAACCAAGCTCGCCAGCGATCCCCATGGCAACGGTTGCCAAGGTAACGGCGCCACCACTCTCCTCCCACTCCGTGACCCAGTCACCCCCCCCCCCCCCATGGCAACGGTTGCCAAGGTAACGGAGCCACCACTCACCTCCCACTCCGTGACCCAGCCACACCCCCCCCCCTCCATGGCAACGGTTGCCAAGGTAACGGCGCCACCACTCACTCACCTCTCTGCAGAGTGTAGGGTAGCAGGGGGACCCAGCCACCCCTCCCCCTCCATGGCAACGGTTGCCAAGGTAACGGCGCCACCACTCACTCACCTCTCTGCAGAGTGTAGGGTAGCAGGGGGACCCAGCCACCCCTCCCCCTCCATGGCAACGGTTGCCAAGGTAACGGCGCCATTCACTCACCTCTCTGCAGAGTGTAGGGTAGCAGGGGGACCCAGCCACACCTCCCCCTCCATGGCAACGGTTGCCAAGGTAACGGCGCCACCACTCACTCACCTCTCTGCAGAGTGTAGGGTAGCAGGGGGACCCAGCCACCCCTCCCCCTCCATGGCAACCGTTGCCAAGGTAACGGCGCCACCACTCACTCACCTCTCTGCAGAGTGTAGGGTAGCAGGGGGACCCAGCCACCCCTCCCCCTCCATGGCAACGGTTGCCAAGGTAACGGCGCCACTCACTCACCTCTCTGCAGAGTGTAGGGTAGCAGGGGGACCCAGCCACCCCTCCCCCTCCATGGCAACGGTTGCCAAGGTAACGGCGCCACCACTCACTCACCTCTCTGCAGAGTGTAGGGTAGCAGGGGGAGCAGGCGGGGTGGGGGTGGGGGCTGAAGGAGTCAGCCGAGACGACGCAGAGACGTAGCGGGCACGGCTCACTTATAGTGGGGACACGGGGCGGGGCTAGGGGCGGGGCTAGGGGCGGGGCTAGGGGTGGGGGATAGGGACGGGGCTAGGGGTGGGGGCTAGGGGTGGGTGGATAGGGGTGGGGGCTAGGGGTGGGGGCTAGGGGTGGGTGGATAGGGGTGGGGGCTAGGGGTGGGGGCTAGGGGTGGGTGGATAGGGGTGGGGGCTAGGGGTGGGGGCTAGGGGTGGGGGCTAGGGGTGGGGGCTAGGGGTGGGGGCTAGGGGTGGGAGCTAGGGGTGGGGGGTTGGGTGGATAGGGGTGGGGGTGGGGGAATAAGGGTGGGGGGAGATAGGAGGTGGGGGGATAGGGGTGGGGGTCGTGGGGGTTCAAGGTGCGGGGTGTGGGGGTCACGAGGGGGTCACGGATTGGCGCTGCGATACTGAACCGAGGGTAGCTCACCTGGCAGAGCACACAGACACAGACAAAGCTCCCCCAGGTAGCCTCTAGCAGGGCTGCAGGGGCAAGTGCTGCTAGTAGCGAGTAGCACCACCTATGATGTACACACACAGACAAAGCTCCCCCAGGTAGCCTCTAGCAGGGCTGTAGGGGCAATGTTATTCGTGTGGCAATGTTAGTCTATAGGTAGTGTTAGTCTATGGGTAATGTTAGTCTATAGGTAGTGTTGAGTCTATGGGTAGTGTTAGTCTATAGGTAGTGTTAGTCTATGGGCAGTGTTAGTCTATGGGTAGTGTTAGTCTATGGGTAATGTTAGTCTATAGGTAGTGTTAGTCTATAGGTAATGTTAGTCTATGGGCAATGTTAGTCTATGGGTAGAGTTAATCTATGGGTAATGTTAGTGTATGGGTAATGTTAGTCTATGGGCAATGTTAGTCTATGAGTAATGTTAGTCTGTGGGTAATGTTGCTCTATGGGCAGTGTTAGTCTATGGGCAATGTTAGTCTATGAGTAATGTTAGTCTATGGGTAATGTTAGTCTATGGGCAATGTTAGTCTATGGGTAATGTTAGTCTATGGGTAATGTTAGTCTATGGGTAATGTTAGTCTATGGGCAATGTTAGTCTATAGGTAATGTTTACTATGGGCAATGTTAGTCTAGGGGCAATGTCAGTCTATGGGCAATGTTTACTATGGGCAATGTTAGTCTATGGGTAATGTTAGTCTATGGGCAATGTTAGTCTATGGGCAATGTTAGTCTATGGGCAATGTTAGTCTATGGGCTATGTTTACTATGGGCAATGTTAGTCTATGGGCAATGTTAGTTAATGGGCAATGTTTACTATGGGCAATGTTAGTTACTGGGCAATGTTAGTCTATGGGCAATGTTAGTCTATGGGTAATGTTAGTCTATGGGTAATGTTAGTCTATGGGCAATGTTAGTCTGTAGGCAATGTTACTCTATGGGCAGTGTTAGTCTATGGGTAATGTTAGTTTATGGGCAATGTCAGTCTATGGGCAGTGTTAGTCTATGGGCAATGTTAGTCCATGGGTAATGTTAATCTATGGGTAATGTTAGTCTATGGGCAATGTTAGTCTATGGGCAAGGTTAGTCTATGGGCAGTGTTAGTCTATGGGTAGTGTTAGTCTATGGGTAATGTTTACTATGGGCAATGCTTACTATGGGCAATGTTAGTCTAGAGGCAATGTCAGTCTATGGGCAATGTTTACTATGGGCAATGCTAGTCTATGGGTAATGTTAGTCTATGGGCAATGTTAGTCTATGGGCAATGTTTACTATGGGCAATGTTTACTATGGGCAATGTTAGTCTAGGGGCAATGTCAGTCTATGGGCAATGTTTACTATGGGCAATGTTAGTCTATGGGTAATGTTAGTCTATGGGCAATGTTAGTCTATGGGCAATGTTAGTCTATAGGTAGTGTTGAGTCTATGGGTAGTGTTAGTCTATAGGTAGTGTTAGTCTATGGGCAGTGTTAGTCTATGGGTAGTGTTAGTCTATGGGTAATGTTAGTCTATAGGTAGTGTTAGTCTATAGGTAATGTTAGTCTATGGGCAATGTTAGTCTATGGGTAGAGTTAATCTATGGGTAATGTTAGTGTATGGGTAATGTTAGTCTATGGGCAATGTTAGTCTATGAGTAATGTTAGTCTGTGGGTAATGTTGCTCTATGGGCAGTGTTAGTCTATGGGCAATGTTAGTCTATGAGTAATGTTAGTCTATGGGTAATGTTAGTCTATGGGCAATGTTAGTCTATGGGTAATGTTAGTCTATGGGTAATGTTAGTCTATGGGTAATGTTAGTCTATGGGCAATGTTAGTCTATGGGTAATGTTTACTATGGGCAATGTTTACTATGGGCAATGTTAGTCTAGGGGCAATGTCAGTCTATGGGCAATGTTTACTATGGGCAATGTTAGTCTATGGGTAATGTTAGTCTATGGGCAATGTTAGTCTATGGGCAATGTTAGTCTATGGGCAATGTTAGTCTATGGGCTATGTTTACTATGGGCAATGTTAGTCTATGGGCAATGTTAGTTAATGGGCAATGTTTACTATGGGCAATGTTAGTTACTGGGCAATGTTAGTCTATGGGCAATGTTAGTCTATGGGTAATGTTAGTCTATGGGTAATGTTAGTCTATGGGCAATGTTAGTCTGTAGGCAATGTTACTCTATGGGCAGTGTTAGTCTATGGGTAATGTTAGTTTATGGGTAATGTCAGTCTATGGGCAGTGTTAGTCTATGGGCAATGTTAGTCCATGGGTAATGTTAATCTATGGGTAATGTTAGTCTATGGGCAATGTTAGTCTATGGGCAAGGTTAGTCTATGGGCAGTGTTAGTCTATGGGTAGTGTTAGTCTATGGGTAATGTTTACTATGGGCAATGTTTACTATGGGCAATGTTAGTCTAGAGGCAATGTCAGTCTATGGGCAATGTTTACTATGGGCAATGCTAGTCTATGGGTAATGTTAGTCTATGGGCAATGTTAGTCTATGGGCAATGTTTACTATGGGCAATGTTTACTATGGGCAATGTTAGTCTAGGGGCAATGTTAGTCTATGGGCAATGTTTACTATGGGCAATGTTAGTCTATGGGTAATGTTAGTCTATGGGCAATGTTAGTCTATGGGCAATGTTAGTCTATGGGCTATGTTTACTATGGGCAATGTTAGTCTATGGGCAATGTTAGTTAATGGGCAATGTTTACTATGGGCAATGTTAGTTAATGGGCAATGTTAGTCTATGGGTAATGTTAGTGTATGGGCAATGTTAGTCTATGGGCAATGTTAGTTAATGGGCAATGTTAGTCTATGGGCAATGTTAGTCTATGGGTAATGTAAGTCTATGGGCAATGTTAGTCTATGGGCAATGTTAGTCTATGGGTAGTGTTAGTCTATGGGTAATGTTAGTCTACGGGCAATGTTTAATATGGGCAATGCTAGTCTATGGGCAATGTTAGTCTATGGGCAATGTTAATCTATGGGCAATGTTAGTCTATGGGCAATGTTTACTATGGGCAATGTTAGTCTATGGGTAATGTTAGTCTATGGGCAATGTTTACTATGGGTAATGTTAGTCTATGGGCAATGTTAGTGTATGGGCAATGTTAGTCTATGGGCAATGTTAGTCTATGGGTAATGTTAGTCTATGGGCAATGTTAGTCTATGGGTAATGTTAGTCTATGGGCAATGTTAGTCTATGGGCAATGTTAGTCTATGGGTAGTGTTAGTCTATGGGCAATGTTAGTCTTTGGGTAATGTTAGTCTATGGGTAATGTTAGTCTATGGGTAATGTTAGTCTATGGGTAATGTTAGTCTATGGGTAATGTTAGTCTATGGGTAATGTTAGTCTACGAGCAATGTTAGTCTATGGGTAATGTTAGTCTATGGGTAATGTTAGTCTATGAATAATGTTAGTCTATGGGTAATGTTAGTCTATGGGCAATGTTAGTCTATGGGTAATGTTAGTCTATGGGTAATGTTAGTCTACGGGTAATGTTAGTCTATGGGTAATGTTAGTCTATGAGTAATGTTAGTCTATGGGTAATGTTAGTCTATGAGTAATGTTAGTCTATGGGTAATGTTAGTCTATGGGTAATGTTAGTCTACGGGTAATGTTAGTCTATGGGTAATGTTAGTCTATGGGCAATGTTAGTCTATGGGTAATGTTAGTGTATGGGCAATGTTAGTCTATGGGCAATGTTAGTTAATGGGCAATGTTAGTCTATGGGCAATGTTAGTCTATGGGTAATGTAAGTCTATGGGCAATGTTAGTCTATGGGCAATGTTAGTCTATGGGTAGTGTTAGTCTATGGGTAATGTTAGTCTACGGGCAATGTTTAATATGGGCAATGCTAGTCTATGGGCAATGTTAGTCTATGGGCAATGTTAATCTATGGGCAATGTTAGTCTATGGGCAATGTTTACTATGGGCAATGTTAGTCTATGGGTAATGTTAGTCTATGGGTAATGTTTACTATGGGTAATGTTAGTCTATGGGCAATGTTAGTGTATGGGCAATGTTAGTCTATGGGCAATGTTAGTCTATGGGTAATGTTAGTCTATGGGCAATGTTAGTCTATGGGTAATGTTAGTCTATGGGCAATGTTAGTCTATGGGCAATGTTAGTCTATGGGTAGTGTTAGTCTATGGGCAATGTTAGTCTTTGGGTAATGTTAGTCTATGGGTAATGTTAGTCTATGGGTAATGTTAGTCTATGGGTAATGTTAGTCTATGGGTAATGTTAGTCTATGGGTAATGTTAGTCTATGAGTAATGTTAGTCTATGGGTAATGTTAGTCTATGGGTAATGTTAGTCTATGAGTAATGTTAGTCTATGGGTAATGTTAGTCTATGAGTAATGTTAGTCTATGGGTAATGTTAGTCTATGGGTAATGTTAGTCTACGGGTAATGTTAGTCTATGGGTAATGTTAGTCTATGAGTAATGTTAGTCTATGGGTAATGTTAGTCTATGAGTAATGTTAGTCTATGGGTAATGTTAGTCTATGGGTAATGTTAGTCTACGGGTAATGTTAGTTTATTTGCTGGGGCAGGTGCAG